TTTCAGAGGCGATGCCGTGGGTAATGATAATGATCTCCACAGTAGCAAATGGGTAAACGACACTCTAAAGTCTCTAAACGAGGTAATTTTTTTTATAAAAATTATTCTTTACGTATTAACTACTTTATGTAATATTTTACGAGTTAGATAATTGAGGGTACAAAAAAATTAAAATGCTTTGAAAAATTATATATACGTCACATATAATGTAAATAATAATAAAACGACTATAAATAAATTTTTATAAATAAATGGCTCCCCCCTGCATACGAGATGCGGAAACGCTTGCCATGTGCCGCCACGTGGTCTTCTTTTTTTTTCAAGATGGCCGTCGAAGCTGCTTGCCACGCGGTATTGCTATGCGCTGCATACCACGTGGCGAACGTAAAAATTTTGCGAGTCAGAATTGGGGGTACAAAACAAGAATTAAAATGCTTTGGAAAATTATATATACATCATATATAATGTAAATATAAAATGACTATAAATATATTTTTATTTGTTCAAATTTTAATAAATAAATGGTTCCTGCATACGGGACGCGGAAACGCTTGCCACGCGGTGAGCTGCGACGCGGTAGCCAATAAATTTTAATTCAAACTTTCGGTTTTTACAGAAAAGCGACACGTTAAAGTCAAATAAAGGATTCTGACAGCAATATAAGTTTAATTTTTAGTTTTTAAAAAGCTTTATTTAATAATAAACTCAAGTTTTTTTAGTGGAACAAATAAATTACACAATAAAATTTATATATAAACTGTCAAATTATAATATTTCTAAAAAATCGTTTTTACCCCAATTGAATAGCAACATTATGCAGAATGTCCTTTAAAATTTTGGTTTATCCGATATAATCTTTTTATTGCAGTCTTTCTTCTTAATTTTTAAAATTAAGTTTAATATGTTTGCAATTCTTGTTAAAAGTGCGCTAAGATAAAGTGTTTGATTGTAATTTACTTATTCAGATTGGCAAGAATAGCTGGACGAAAGAGCTAGAAGATCAGCTTTGTGCTCTGTGGCATCTGACAAACTTGAAAGGAGATGTGATATTGCACCTTATGTTGTACGATTTCCCCAAGATAGCGAAGAGAGTACTGGTGATTTCAACCGAACCACGATTGATTGTACGACTTATCTATCATGAGTTCTACAGAAATTATTTTAACAACTAATTTTGGCTGGTTAATAACTACAGATATATTCGTAGGAAATAATCTTGGGTATCATTGGCAATGTATGCAGCAGTGATAAAGCGGCCATCGATACAATAGGCCGCGATCGAGAGCTAGTCACACAAATCCTGAGCTATTTAAAATCCGACAACTCGTTAATATTGATTCAACTTGTCAAGATCTTGAAGGAAATGTCGGATCAAATCATAAAAAAAGCTCGATCAGTTTGGGTAGCTTATTTTACGAAATGTGCATTTTTCGGAGATTGTATAATCTCTATATTAATGACTTCGACTAATGGTAAGCACTGTAATTACACAAGAGAAATCTTTTGCATAATTAATATAATCCTGAAATCTTTGTCGCAGATGAATTACTAACCGGTACAATGGATTTGGTTGCATCTATATTTATTGGTGCACGTTTGGCGAAGAAAAACAAATTGTGGGAGAAACTGTTTAAAATTGACCAATTCATTGTTGCGATGTTAGAATCGTTTACGGGGATAATGGCGAGAGAAACGAGAACAATGAGAGAGACGAGTCGCTTTGAATGGAAGTTTGCCTATAACTGGCTTGGATGCTTAAATCTCATCATAATAGACCCCAACCACGTGGTTGAAGGCGAAATCTGTGATAATGGAGAGATGCTTTTGAAACTTTTGGAGATTATATATAGAATATTGGAACCGTGCAATAAGTTACATAATTTATATCCAATTCGGGAAGCAAGTGCCTTCCTGATTTACAATGCTACGTGTATACTGTCAAGTATCATAAATTATAATGTGAATGTGGGAAAAATAAATGACATTCTAGCGACTATAACTTTCTCCCTTAGAATGGGTAAGTAACACGATTTTTTTGTTTTAGTTGCGAATAGTAGACATATAGATAGTTTTTTTTTTCCTAACAATGTATGTATTAGTTTCAGAATCTCGTTTTAAAGAAGAGCTAGATCCCGAGGAACTCGTACCCGGTCTTTCAAATTACCTAGATAAATACTGGTTACGTATGTCACGTATTAACCGACAAACCGACCAACAGATTGCGGAAATATATCGTCAATGTAAACGCGATTTTGAGCAGTACGTAATAGGACTTGTCTCGTCACACCCGGGATACTCGACAAGTTGACGCAGCTGCCATCTTCGTTAGGTGTAATTAAAAATACGGGACCTGAGTAAAAATATGAGTTAACCCTTCGCAGAACACGTGAGGCTTTCAAGACCCAATCGATATTTCAATTTCGAATTTTACGCAGATTTTACGGATTCATAAAGAAAACGCGAACAAGAATCAAGCATACATAACGGTATAAATAGTTTATTAAAGCCTTTGAAAGTATACTTGAATTTTTTCAGCTTTTTTATGGCACCATTACAGCTTGAAAATCTTATCTGGGCATAAAAGATCCCCAGGTGTACGACGAAAGTATCAGAATTACGTGCGTTCTGCGAAGGGTTAAAATTATTTCTTGAATTTGTATACGAAAATATCTTGACATGTCTCGACAATATGTAGTGCAATGGTACAAACAATAGTACAAACGATATAGTGCAAATAGTACAAATAGTCCTACATACAATAGTACAAACGGGAATATTATGCAATAAGTAATTTACGATATTAAGCAATATTATGCGTAGGTTGCACTGGAGACTCGATTATAATAAAATGTATTGTAAATGTATAAAGATCTGATTATATATATATATATCTATACATATATGTATATACAGTCTATTTTAATAAATGACATTTTATATTTACCTAATTACATCGTGTACGTTTATAAGTCAAATAGCGTTCCGATATTTTTATTTATGAACCTTATACCGGATCTTACAAGCTATTGATATAAATTGTGAAATTTGAATTCTGCAAAATTAATACGCTTTTATTATCATAGTTTATGATTGGTGCAGAGTCTTTCATAGACGATTTTTATTTATCGAGCCATTATATCCACACGTTCTCAGATCAATTACAAATCGACTTTGTCTTCAAAAAATCAGTCATTTAATTCTCGAAAGTAATTTCCATCGTATAACTTGGGAGCTGGATTTCAAATTGTGTACCTGTGCATTCAGGTACGTGCTTTCTCTTGTGTGCGTGTGCCCCACCAGCCCACACGGCCCACGTGGGTCGGCGTCGGCGTCGGCGGCAGTCGCCGCAGTCGGCGGGTCCCCTCCAACCTTACTTAACCTAACCTTGTCCAACCAATGAGAGCTTTGCTTTTTCCGGATTTTTTCACTGGAAAAGCAAGGCTCTCATTGGATGTCGCTCTTCGCGTCCAGCGTGAGAGGGGGCCATGATACAGAACAGAAACTATATACAATTGTATAGTCTATGACTATCTAAACTTTTAACCTAACCTAAATTTTTGCAGCGATTACGCGAACGTTTCATCGGTTTCGTCGACTTGACGTCCCCGATGAGCCTGAGACGGATCAGCGATGTCATTATTCGGCGAAACGTGCGTCTCCAAGGCGCCGTCGCCGGGCGTTTCCTCGCCACGGAGTCGACGGAACCGAAGGACGAGATCGTCGACATAACCGCCGCCGACGAGAAGCCGGTATACCCGGACGATCCCCGGTCTCAGGAGGAGCTCGCCAAGAAGCGAAACAAGTCCCGGCTGAATCCGTCGGATAGGAACGTGCTTATGGGCGTGCGTCCTTACGAACAGTCTCTGGAGTGGTATCACGATACGGTGAGATACAAGAAGCGTATGCTGGGCAGGTACGGATTGAAAAGCATCGACGTGCCAGCCGGGTTCGCGTGGCCCACGCCAGAAGAGGTCAAGGATGCTCAGGAGTACGAAAGAGTCGCCTTTCCGTTGTCCATTCAAGAGAGATGGAAGAAACTGGAGGAGGCAAAACGGATAAAGGCTGAGGAGGTTCAAGCGAGGCATGTCTTTTATCGATTGTATCACTTATGTACATTTCTACCAATGTAGATTAACTTTAATCTCTGTTTAACTTACTTGTTAGCCTCTTCCAATTCTTAAAACTAAAAAAAGATGAAAAATCAAATAAACTGAGATTAAAATTAATCTATATTAGTAGAAATGGATATTATCAGTATATCAGTATTGAACGTAAGTTTAAAATTTTAGAACATTATATTGATGTACGATGCACTTGCAGGGAGGCCGAAATAGCTGAGAAGCTGGCGAAGATGGATGAATGGACGGCCGAATTGAATGCGAAGATCGCTAAGAAGGAAGCTGAGCTGGAGGCTGCTAGATTGCGCAAGGAACGCCTGGTGGAGGAGGTCAGGAAGCACTTCGGCTTCAAGATCTCGCCCCACGATGAGAGATTCAAGACGATGCTGGCGCAAAAAGAGAAGGAGGCAAAGAAGAAGAAGAAGGAGGCTAAGAAGCAGGCAAAACTGGAAAAATTAACAAGCATAGCCCAAAAAATGTCCAACGATGCGAGTCAAGGGGAAGCGACCGAGTCGACGAAACCTGTAGAATAGTGACCTGTTGAATAGTTTTCGCCAAGTATAATATAAAACATTCTAATTGTATATAGCTAATAAATTTGTAATTTATCAGCGCTCTTTCAGGTGCGATTATTTCGAAGCTGAACGACCAATGTGATTAAACCACAACACTTTTTTTACATTTTATTTAAGCAATCAGCTTCTCATATCTCGGCACGAGATACTGCGAAGTTGTGAAATTGGCTATGATCAAAAGATATTCGAATGCTTTCTCTGCTTTACATCATTACAGAAACATATCTTTGTAGTAGAAACTTTCCAACGGGCACTTCGCATTTTTTTACTTCGGTGAGAGAGAGAGTAATATAAATCTCAGGGACAATATACACATACGCAATAGTAAATATCATACTTATTTCTTTACTAATACAAAAAACATTACACACTGTTTCGCAAAAGACTAGAAGAAATTATTCTAATGCATAGTTGATAAATGACGCTTCTCTTAAGACACTTAACCAGGACCTCTATTCTGTAACTCTAACGACAGTGTCGGTATCGTTATGTCGTCGTTGCGCAGCTTTTTTTCCATATAGTATACCTGCGCAACGACAACGTAACGATACCGACACTGTCGTTACGAGTTACAGAATAGGGGTCCAGGCACACGTTGGACGATATGTAATTACGTTGTTTATTTCTTATCTCACTCTGGGGCCATGCTAAAAGTCCTTCGGTGATTACAACAATTATCAAACCGTCAAACTATGTTGCGTTTGAGAGACATGATTTTCTCATATTTGTACCGCGCTTGACTCGTTATCCATTCATTAAGCATATCAATTAACTGGCTCAATTAAGCTTCTAGCTATTCTAGCAGCCGCGTAATAAATAATCGAACATTCCGCGATCGTCGTTGTGAAAATTTCTCTAACAAGATCAGCTTCTCGTTATCGTGCAGTCCACGTTGGTCCGATCGCCGACAGGTGATTTTCTCTGCGAGTTTTCCCGATCCGAGACGCTTCTCTCGGTCTCGGCAACGTCGCGATCATCATGCGGCCACGCGTTCTGTATCTGAAGTTCGTCGATCACAATAAAACGTAGTTTGTTGCCCTCCGTGTGTCAGGCGGATTGCAGTTGCGATGGCGACGTTAATTCGTAAAACTGGAAGTTGAGCTCCTCGCCGAAGAGATTTTCCGATCCTATGATCTCGGGATCGACCACGTTTAATCCGAGACTGTTCGGATTCAGATCCGTCACCAGATATCCCTCGCTCACGAGTCCGCATTCCTCGGCGACGACCTCCTTGGACACCGGGTTCAGGAAATCTGTGAATTACATGAAATTTCGCGCTTTGCCAATGCCGAATCGAGTCTCATTTAATTCCTAAAAGAAATATCGAAACGATTTAACGATGTGGCCTCACCACTTTCCTTGAACGTGCATTGAAGTTCCGCTTGTGTCGCTTGTTGGTTCTGCTGACTCGCCTCAGAATCGTTGGTCACCATCATGGGAACTAAATACTGCACTTCCACCTCGCGTCTTATACCGTTCAGTATTTGCTCGGCAGAATGCTCGAGCGTCACGGAATTCAGCATACCGTCGGTGTCCTCCTCTGAATTCGGCTGCGTGATACTCGCTGTCGCAGCCTCCACCTCGTCCATGATTTCACTATAATGTCAAGAGGCTCGTTCAGCAATAGCGTTGAAATAGCTTTGCAAAACTTAACGAGGAATCGTATAGTAGACTTTTTACCTAATGATTCTGTTACTCCGGGACTCGTCACACTCATTTTGCGCTACTTGTCGTGCCGGTGTAGTATTTGTTGGGCCGTTAACTGCGAATGGACGGGGTCTGCAATCGCCACGATTCGCGATCGCCCAAAGGTGACCTGCCCCGTGAGGCGCTTTCGATCCTTTCCTGAAGTGCGGATTTATCGAGAGATTGTGCCGGACGGAGTTCTTCCAGCGATCATCGTTGCTTTTATAGTAAGGAAAATGCTCGCTGAAAAAACGATGTAAAATTATCCTCTACATTCAATTTTAATTGTACAGATTAAATATAATTTATATATTCACCTGAAACAAATTTTTCTACATTTTTAATAGTTATAATAATATTTCCAGGAGCTACTACAATTATTTTACATAGGCAAATTGAAGGGAACTTGATTAAGGGATATTACACGTAAAAACGTACGGCGGCAATTTGCGTTCCTACGAAACTAATTTCCTTCACCTGCTCGCAGCGATGTCACGGTGCGTTACGCACCCCCCCATCGCGATTAATTTCACGAGAGTTTCGGTGGAGAACGCGAAAGACATTTGAGCCAAGGGTGCATTTGAAATGCTAAATGGTGCGTTTACTCGCACCGCTGATCACGATGATCGTGACGAATGTTGTCGCTTATACCGACAATTTAACGAATCTGTTTCCAAGTCATGATACTTTTAACATCACCCATGATTTCAAAATGCAACCCTTAAGCTTGAAAGCCATTTTTAATTTGATATCGTTATAATCTGCATAATGTCATAATCGATAGTCTCAGATAACGCAAATGTGAAGACAAGATTTATGATTTTCAGTATTATATATATATAATACTGAATATATATATATATTCAGTATTACACATGTGTATATATTTGTAGGTCTTCGTGCAGAATTATCGGAGATATTTCTTTTGACTCGATTGTTCGAGCGGTCCCTACGCGGCTGAACTCGAATGATCTATATACGCCTTTTCCAAGGAGCTTAAACGGCGATCGAACAGGTGAAGGCACAGGAGCAGTAAATTGTGCGCATTCGTGTTGAGGGCTGCAACGAAGGATAGCCTGAAGGGTGAGGAGTTAGTGCCAGGTGGTGCCAAGCAACGGGGGCAGTGGTACCAATGGGTACCATCTACAAGTAGCCCACCCCCCGTCGACCCACCCCCGATCAGCGGGCTACGTTCGTGTAAATTCGTAGAAAACCCTTGCGCGTCCGATACGCAACTAAGAAAGACACTTCGTATGCTCTTCAAATAAAACTTGTAAATTTTTTCTCTCGTAAGTTCAACTTGTCGGTTTTAATCGATGGCTCGTTTTAATTTTAATTTGCGATTCCGTCTAAAATTATGAAAAAGAAATATGTAAAAAATATTTAAGTAAACTAGAAGGAAAATATATTTATTTTAATTAATATGTTTTCAGTAGACATTTAATTGGAAAGTTATAAAAGGAAGAGTGTGAGGAAAAATGCAAAAATTGCTAACGCTATGACACGCCGGCCAGCAAAAAGCTTCAACTAATAGTAATAATAAATTAACTTTTCCTGCCGAGACTCACGAGATCCACTGATAAATCGCGGAGACGGTGAGCTCGCCTCTTTCTCGCAGCGCGTGCTCTATCAATTCCGTGTAGGTGAAGGGTGGCTTCTTCGGGCCGTTGGTCGGCGCAGACGAGAAATTCCGGCTGTCAATTCCGTTGGTGGGATAAGTCGCCTGATTCGCGTCCTGTCGATACACCGATGAATTTTCGTGACTGCCATGTCCCCTTCTGACGTCGTTGACGTAATTGGAGCCATGCGACCTTCCGTTTGGTTTATTCTTGTTGCCTGAAAATGCGCAATTACCCGCGGAACCGTAGATTCTATTAGCGGAACGTATGCAGACATTTTCCTATTCGTAATTTAAGCAAGACAAAATTTTTGAAGACTATAACACTGATCGCCCATCGTTTTTCGGAAAGACTCGCGAGTGGAAAGTTACCCCTCTTTTCACAATTCATCTTATCGATCTATCCGTTTAAAATAACGAGGCAAAGATTTTAATTTTAACACCGCAGAGCAAAAATCCTTTATCTTTCTTTAACTCTAACATTCGCGAAAGCGTCGATTCAAACGTCTATTTCCTCCTGCACCTTTCTCACCACAATAATTGTTCTTCGTTGCCGCGCCAAGTCCCATAGCGGATCTGTCGTCCGCGGCTTCGATGAACGAGTCCAGCTTGAAGTCGAGCAGCCACGATAGATTCCCGTTCTCCTGATCCTCGAATTGCTGTTGCTGCTGCTGCAGTTGCTGTTGTTGCTGTTGCTGCTGCTGATTATTACCTGTCGTTCCCTTACTTTGCTGCGCGTTCAGATTGGCGAGCGAGATTACCTCGGAGATTACGGGGGCGGCAACCGGTTCCCAATAATTTGCCGACACCGCCGGCTGATAATTAAACTCCTCGACGGCGTAGGTTTCCGCGGGATGACGCTCGGCGGATCCGGACGACGTCGACGAGGACGACGACGAAGAAGAGGACGAGGTCACGAGAACGTCCAGATTCTGCTGTTGCTCCAGCTCCGACACGGTCGTCCAGGTGCAGTTGGTGCCATCGACCAGCAGCACTTCCAGACGCGCCACTTGCGACTCCTCGATCGCCTCCTGGGCTGACATCGGCGAGAAGAGAGCCGCCGCGTTGGCGATGAGCTCGTTTGACGTAGCGACCAGTTCCACCGGCGTCTCCAGTTCCTGAAGGTAGTGCTTGCGACCTGTCTGGCGAACCTCGTCGCAGAAGCTGTCGATGTCCAGCTCGTCGAAGATCTTTCGCTTGGACCCGTCGACGTCCAGGTCGTCGAAGATCTTTCGCTTGGAGGAGGCGCAGCACTGGCTCTCAGTAACCTCGCCGGCTGCTCCCGACGATGGCCCGATCATCCTGTCGGCCTTCGAGCTGCTGATTTCGAGTCGGCGGGTCGTCTTATAAAAAATAGGCAAAATGATAGACAAGCGAGAGAAACTAGCAGAAATCTATCCGTAAAGTTGAGCGCAAAAGAATTTAATTTTTGAGATTAAAAATTGATAGAGCTCGTAAAAATGCATAAATTCCAATTAATTTTTTATCAGATTAATTAATTTTTCTGTAGATAAACGCGCGCGACTCTATTTTCTTTAATCGACTTGCTCCTCGAAAAATAAAACGGAGAGATGATAATTAAGCTAGTTTAAAATCTAATTTCTCATTCGACAGATGATTATTCTGACGTTTGCGTGCGATATGCGGCTAGGTTAAAAACAAGCGTGATTTATATTTTAAAGCGCTCCTCCCGGAGCGCATCTCGTTGTTTATGCGGAGTTTTATTTTGCGTCGCAAGAGAATCAAATATCATCGATTCGCGAAACGCATCCCCTTACCTTGCCTCCGTCCGCTGCGGTCTTTCGGTTTTTCGCGCGAGACAGCCCGATATTCCTCGTTCGTTTATCTCAATCGAATTATCAATCGGCGCGAGATCATCGTCGGAGACGGGGGAAGTGCGCGAGTACTTTTTCGGTCAGCTTGCTCCGTTTTTTTTCCAGCCTCAGACGCGCTCCGTCATATATCATTCATATCGCGATTCACGTTTAAGCCGATCTCGACACACGTCGTTGTCGCGCACGTTCGGCGCGCGGCCCACGCTTACCGAAATTGGACCGTACGATTATATTCTTTTTTTTTTCCTCTCTCTCCCCGTGTTCGCGATCGAGCGGGCCGCGGAGAGAGCGCGTCCGTCACCACACGATCGGCGCCGTGTACGCGCCGCTCGTTTGTCTCGAACGTCGGCTGTCCCGCGCCGCGAGCGCCGCGCACGCGCACCGCGAGCGTCGGTACAGTCGCGGACAAGAGCCCCGGTAGAGCTGCGACCCCGTCGACGCCGTTGCGTTCAGCGATTGGCCAATCGGTCGGCGCTGAAGAACAGGTGCGGGCTCGGTGCAGGTGCAATTATTGAGCGGCATTTTTCACTCTTTCTTCTTTTCCCGCAGTATTTTGTTAAAGGAATTATAATTTTTTTCATTGTAACGTAAGAACGATTAGATTAAGGATGACGAATATTGTTCAGTTGGAAATTTTACTTTGAACAATTCTGTCAATTGAATTTTGAATTATAATTGCCCTTTGAATTAATCAGAAAATTTGATCAAAGTGGAATGACTTAAAAATATTCGAAAATAATTTAAATTATTATTGAATCAATTAATTTACTTATTTCTCGTAAAATAGGATGGTAACGAAGTGTACCTCCTGCGTACCTAAATAAAATGGTGTTTTTATTATCGACTATATTATATATATACGCGCGGCGTACGTGATGTCCGAGAGATGTAAATTAATAATCTTTTTTTCCGGCTATCGCATTTACCTGTAATCTCGAGATAGCGGATAAAAGCATGATTAGCGGGGCAAATGTTACATTTTTAAACGCGCAAGCTCGTTCGCGATAAACTAATACAATGAGAGCAGTAAAAAATATTTCGGAGCTGCTTCCGGAGTTATTTAAAGTTACTGAAAGGATAAGAAGGAGAAAGGAGACATATAAAGTGGGATAAGCAAGTTCTCGGACCGAGGAACAGTTACTGAAACTTGGATCGTGGACACACTGAACTTGGATGCAAAACTGGTACCGTGTGTCCACGATCCAAGTTTCAGTATAACTTTTCTTCGGTCCGAGAACTTGGAGATACAAGCCTTTAGAAAAAGACACTTTCTGATTGTTGAAATTCCCGCTAATTGTCTGAATTCTGTGGCCGGTATTCAAAGTTCGTTCCTGTATTTAAAAGTCTTAAGTACAATCTTAAGATTGTTACAAATCAAAGCCGTATTAGTAGCATCCTTAAAACATTACTTAAGACGGCCTTGAAATAAGAGCGGACTGATGAATACGGGCCTGTTCATCGTTTTCAGGAGAAGCTCCAGCGACGACAAGGTCAAGGTAAATGCGCGTCGCGGCTTATCGCATCGAGAGATTCGATTTCTCGCGCGGAGTGTACCGCGCAGGTGCGTAACGTCGAATTCACGAGGCCCAGGCTTGGACCGAGATTACGCGGACGGGTCCTTTTGACGCGGAGATCGAGCAGAAGAAGGAATAGAAGATCGACAAAGGTCGAGAAAGATAAGTTTGAAACGGAAACGAGACCGGCGAAAGAAAAAGGGCCAATACGTAGAAAAACTTAGCCAATAAGCGTAAGCAGCGAGCAAATTAACCAATCCACACTCAATTCTCGAAAACTCAAGATAGCTATTGATCAATTTGCGTCCTGCTCAAATTTTTCTACGTGCCGTAGCCCAAATTCTGGCGAGCCTGTATCTCCGTTGCGCTAAGAGGAGGGGGGACCCTCTGTTGTAAGGTTCCAGAATTTGACGGCGCTGGACTCGGTACCGCAGCAGATACGCACAGTACACAGTACGGACACGGCTCGGGAGAATGACATTTAAAATCCGTGACTGAGGGCACGACGACGACGACGACGTCGACGAAGAAGAGGCGAAGTAAGAAGAAGGAAGAGCGAACGGGGTTAACAACACGTTGACAGTCTCAAACGGCCCGTCACATGGGGCATTGAGCCACCACCACCACGTTGTGCGAGGACACCGTTCGAGAAGCGCAGCGATCATGGATCTCGACAACGATCTGGACCAGCACTTGCTGCACCAGTTCAGCTGCCTGGGCACCACGGACAAAGACGACCTGGTGAAGCAGCTGCAGAAGCTGCTGGCCGACAGCCACCTCAATGAGACCACCGCCGCGTTTTTCCTCGATATGAACAATTGGTAACGTCCCTCCTCGTCCCGGGACGCCTCTCGCCGTCCGTGTACGCTGCCCACGCACCTAACCTCGCATCGCCATGTTTACTGCGACCCCCCGGGGACATCGTTCCTTCCTTGGGCTTCTCTGAAAGGCTTCCTTTTTTTCTTTTTTTTCTTCCCAGTTCGACGTGAACCCTTCACAATACGTGTCGGTCTTCCTTTCGTCCTTTCTTTTCTTCCCCGCGAGATGCCATTGTCCCGCTTTTGGTAAATCCGTGTCATTGCCAGTGTCCCATTTCAGAGCCTAACCGTTCACAGTTGATTTGGGCCGTGCTCTTTAAATTGGCGATTTAAATGGCCCGAATATGTATGTTTTCGTGTTTCGAGGATGAAGGGAAGGGAGGCTCTTTAAATGGAAGCCGTAGAGTAAAAAGAACATTTCAATAGTGATCGACGACGCTAACAGTCGGATGGTCTTAATTAACAACAATTAACATCGTTGATTTAAAAATTTCGAAATTTATATAGATTTGTTGTTCCAATCGTCGTAGAAAATGTATCATACGGCAAATGCGTGCTCCTATCACATCTAGGTGTCCTTGCTTTTGTCTTGTAATTGTTTGCAAATAACAAACCGATCAAGTGGAGTGATTGTTATTGTTACGTTGAGACGAACTATAAACATAGTTTGAGTCTCTTGTCGCTTAAATTTATAAACAGAATTTCTTCCCGCTGGATATTGTCGTAATATAAAATTTCTTTTTTTCCAGGAATCTGCAAGCGGCGATTTGTAGCTACATTGATTTCGGGAATCCCTTCAATACACCGTGCATGACGTTGATATGCGACAGCACGATCGGCGAGGGAGAGGCTGTGCCGCCCAACACAAACTTTCAGAAGTCGTGGCGCGTGCAGAACAGTGGCACCGAGGCGTGGCCCAGCGGGATCCACCTGCAGCATTCCAGCGGCGTGCAAATGGGCTGCGCGCGGATACCCGTTCCACCGCTGGCCCCCAAAGAGACCACGGAGTTGAGCGTGACGTTGAAAAGCCCGGCCGAAACCGGCGTTCATCAGAGTAAATGGAGAATGATGACGTCGAACGGCGTCTACTTCGGTGGTACGTCACGAATTCTACGCAGCATTTCTGCGTACGATAAAGAGCGTGGCATGGAAAAAGGATCGGCAAATTTAGGAGCGTGTAGTATCCAAAAAAGAAAGAAATAAATGTTCCGCTGATATAGAAGCGGTAACTCAAACTTGATTCAGGAAGGATGATTTATCTTATCGAAAGCTCTAATTGTATATTAATTGAGATGCGCACGCAAGTTGCGAGCTGCGATATTTACTTATCTTGTCGATATCTTAAACTGATAACGTTAAATGCGCATTGTTCGCTGATCCGTTGAGTTCTATGATGAAATTCGCTGATCCTTTTTCTAAATCGCTCCGATCGATTTGATTTTAGTCATAATTCGCAACAATTACCCGTATCTCTTTTTTTCGTAGATGTTATCTGGGTGATCATAACGGTGAACGAATGCGGCACATTGGCGGTTACTCAACAGTTGCATCAGTTAAGTACACAGTCCAATGATGTACAAATGTGCTAGCCTTTGACGTACAAAAGTCTCCCCTAAGAAAGATTTACGGAATATTGTATAAGACGTCTCTCTCTCGGATCGTTGTGAGAATCGACAATTGTTTCTAAATTTTGTATAGATCGCTTTTTCACAACGGAGCTTTTTGCTGCTCCTGCACCTCGTAAAAAAAAGAGAAATTGCTGTGTAGCAAAAATATACTATTAATAAATGATGCAATAGACTTGGCTATACTCTTACCCTGATTGAAATATTTGTAGGAGAGACGCGGAGTTAGTCTAAAAAAAAATAATGCATTTTAAAAATAAGAACATATTTCCAATAAAAGTTGTATCTGAAATTTTCGTTAGAGATAACTCTTTGTTCATAGTGCAGGAACGATTTCCAATGTTTATCATAATGGTTTATATAAAAATAACGAATTTATACATATATATAGAATTACATAATTTTGTTATACTTAGAGAAGCTGCTTACATAAGGCCTTTTACGATCGTCCATGCTTGTCGATCACATGTAATCGACCGAAAAATTAAATTTGTGTAATATAGGAGTTGAAATAGAGTGCGTGCGATAATTTTTATTGGAATAAAGAGACGAATCGTGATAGATGTGCATGAATCCCATGCGATGGGTATTGAAGATATTGATCTACACTTAAGATACAGATTTATTGAAAATATAATTTTTCTTAGAAAGTAAAGTTTAGTTAAATATACACATATATACATACAGGCATAGATGTATATGCGTATATAAGACTTCACTTACGATATATATGTAGCTAGGGAGTTACAATATAAAATATATTCATCACTTTTACCATCAGCCCACACACACATACACACAGAAAGAGAAATCGAACTACTAGAGGTAATTTTTTTACGTCTCTCTTAAATCGAAAATATTGTAATTGAAAGTACTACCACTTAATCGGTGTATCTGAATACTGATCATAAATACTTAGTTTGTAGAAAGGCTAGCTTCTAGCTCATTGGTTTATTAGTTAAGTACGTTAAACAGGAAAATCGATGATGCCTCGTTAAACAGAAGTGTTACGGGAGCGAAATGTAAATTTCACATAGATCTTTCCAGAGGATCGAGCTTATTCAAGCGACAGGTAGCTCAGACAGCCATCTTCATGTAGATCTTGGGGTATGGCTTGTAATCTATCAATTCGAAATCCTCGGCAGTGAAATCGTCAATGTCTTTGACTTCTCTAACTACCCTTAATTTTGGAAACTCGCGCGGTTCGCGTTTTACCTGTTCCTCAAGGGCGCTTATATGGTTGACGTAGACGTGACAGTCTCCCATTGTATGTACAAATTCTCCTGGCTGAAAATAAAAGAAAATAGAAAGTAGAGCAACACCCGTCTAGAATTTTTCCGAGCGCGGAGCGAGTATATCTTCGATCCTCACCTTCAGTCCGGTAACATGAGCGATCATATAGGTCAGCAAGGAATACGACGCTATGTTAAACGGCACTCCTAGACCCATGTCCGCGCTTCTTTGGTAAAGCTGCGCGGACAATTCTCCGTCATTTACGTAAAACTGTACAAAAGCGTGGCACGGTGGCAATGCCATTTTTGGAATATCAACCGGATTCCAGGCTGACATTATTATGCGTCTGTCGTCCGGGGAGTGCTTCACTTTGTGGATAACTTCTTTCAATTGGTCTATTCCTAGAATAAGAAATATACAGTTAATTTTTAACTGCATTGTTTTTGCTTTCAACGAATGTACTAAAAAAAGAGAAGGATTCTTGTTTTAAAGAAAACTTCCGTCAAGAGTACCTTGTCCTGTGTAATCCGTACGCATGTCTTTGTATTCAGCACCAAAATGCCGCCACTGGAAACCATAGACAGGTCCCAGATCACCTTCCTCTCTGTCAGTGAAGCCGCTGGAGTCCAAGAAAGCTCGCGAGCCATTCTCGTCCCAAATGTGAACACCCTTGTCCGTTAACTCTTTGGAATTCGTCGATCCTTTGATAAACCACAATAATTCCTCGACCACTGCTCGCCAGAACACCCTTTTAGTTGTCAGTAATGGAAAAACACCTGCATCCAGTAAGTAGAACGTTAGCAATGCTATCAGATTCGAAGGGAATATTGTGACAGATTGGAAATTATCTCGCCAGCAGATTCTGTTATATTTCTGCTAGCAATTTGCCAACAAAATATGCAATAAACATTTTGCAAAATGTACCTGATGACAGATCTGATATATCTAGGTAGAAATAACAAAGAAAACTTATCAACTTCTTTATATGAAGAATTATAACTTAGCAAGGATGCTTCATGAAGGATCTGTGGATGCAACTGTCGTGCCTGGAAATTATTGCCGGCTACCTTTGATCTATCAGGTGGACTGGATAGTATATCCTGGGTAAACCTATGACACACTTACCGTCTCGTAAGCTGAATCGCATTTGGGCGCCGAAGATGGAATAGGTATCGACGCCGGTGCGATTTCCCCGCTTCATTCCAGTTTTAAGAACCTTCTCGATGAGCCGCAAATACTGACATTCCTCGTGCTCTTCGCTTGCCTTCCCGTTCATCTTTTGCTCCACGTCCCGCGTTGTTCCTCGCAACGATTCCACCTCGACGCCGTCACTCGACATGTGCGTATCGTATTGCAATATTCGAGACACAATGAAAGTACAATAAAACGGAAATCGTTATTTCAAGAGAAAGCCGTCACAATAAACTCCTGCGATTTCTGCCGTTCCGAAATTATTTGAAGAAAAAAATTTAAGTTACGATACGCCTTTTCGAGGTATTTTAGCCGGGTCGATGGTTATACGCGCTTCGAGCGCGGGAAAACGCAAGATGACACGTGACTCGGTGTGAAACACGATTCACACGCTCGAAAATATACGCTCGCGCGATAATCGGTTCCCTTTGATACATAAATAAAAAGGTAGTTTTCTCTTTCCTTTTTTTTTTTTGCGAAAACGAACTGGAGCAGTTTTTTGTGAGGGTCAATGCAAACGTACACAGGTTTTATTCTTTCTGACTTAGTATAATCGTAAAATAAATGTAAATTAATATACAGAGTGCGACATACACATTCGCGTGTGTACATATAAAGCGAGAAAGAATATAGATAATAGATACATAAAGGGTTGAAAATTCTGAGCGCCCGACATCCGGACGACTCTTTCTTGTGGCCTTTGTTTGATACATCAAGAGAAAAAGAAAAATACATCTGTCGGACGTGTGATAAAACATAAAACGTATGTGTGTGTGTGATGCGTTGGTCGTTCGAGATATGTACAAATATCGTACGGGATCACATTTCTTTCTCTCTACGTATACGTATATAAATGTATGTACATCGTATTTGGTACTATATCCATTTGGTAACACAAGTTGCACGAGTGCCTTTCGAGTTGCAAAGTAAAAACGTAACAAGCAAGTTCACGTTTCTCACAAAATTCACCGTTCGTCGTATCAAATTCCTTAAATCGTAGATCGCATCGCGCCACAGGATGCCCTGCGACTACCGGATATGTTCTCCAGAAATCCTTTCAGCCGATTCGAAGCCGATCGTTCAGTGGAGAGAATGGACGACGAGATCTCAAGATATTCCGATTAATTTCGACTGATATTTAAATCCAGAATTTTTATTCAAGTTCAGAAAAAAAATGTCAAATACAACAATAATACAATTGTTTCGACATTCTTGTTCGTCATCTCCGAATCGATTCACGTGAACATCCCGCGGTCGCAGGACACCGCGTGCACGTCCTGACGCGATATGCATGTGGTATAATAAGTGATCGTAATGATTTGTACAACTGTACGCCGAAGAATGCTGTTGCAAAACTATATACTTCCCTTCCCTCCCCCCCCTTAGAATTAACATTAAGGTTCGATATTCGATCTAAATAGTACGCCGGTCTGTCTCGCAACAGATTCGACCGGGTACCGTTTTCACGCAGACGGATTCGGACGTATTGGCTACGTATTGACGGCATTATTGTTATCCAGCGCGTTCGCGGCCGCCTCCTCGGATTCCCCGACGGATGGATTATTGTTCAGTCCGGCCTCGGTGTTGTAGCCCGAAAACGAGCAGGCAGGTGCGCTTCTGGCTTGGTTCACCACCGTGGCCTCAGGCAGGAGCGACGTACGCTCCGTCGCGCTTCCCCAAGCCTGCTGATATGCACCGCGTCCGCGTATTCTGCGGCTTAGGGACGAACCGACGACGCCCAAGTGTTCCTTTATGTCGTTATGCACGTCAGAAACGTCCCACATTGCTCTATAAGAATAAAGCAAACGTATATTAGTTTATATAGAAGGTACGATGTAATTTCGGTGCTGGTGCCAATGTAATTTTTTTTTAATTAAAAAGTGTACGCCTTAATTTGTTCAAAAGTGCTTCAACATTCATTATTAATTGTTTTGCATACCTAAATGCATCCCACCATGCTTGACCCTGCGCCAAATTGACAAACGGTTTATAGGAGAAGCTATAGTGATGCGCCACCGCGGCTAAAAACATCTCTATGCAAATTAGAAAATCCTGCAATTTGGATGATATACTCCTGATGTCGTCTGAGTTATCCGTATTAAAAATACTCGATATGACGTCGAAATACACCAAGAGAGCTACTAACACTCCTTGACTGTAACCAAGAGAGCACAATGTATATTTTTTCATCTCGTTATGCATTTTTTCTGAGTCACTACAACTACATTACAGCGATACCTACAAGAATGAGAAGAACACGACAGCTTTGATGCATAAAAATTTCCCGATCGGCTTCATTGGCTTCAAGGCCTCTACGTTGGCACGGTAAAAGAGTACCAGACAGTACATGGCGACGAATTGCGACAGATTGTTTAGAGCGATCATGTACGGGAAAGCGACGTCCCCCTTAAATTCACCTTCCCCATAGACTCCATTCAGTTCGCATATGCTACAAAAGTATAAAAATATACACTTAAATGTTGTAACGCGTAATATCGGATGTAGAGATCTCTACCCGATCACAATTTCTTACAACGATATTAAAGTTGATATAGGCCTAACAGCTGTATATTGTAAAATCCCATGCTTGCACATATGTACAAATTCTCTGCCCATCTCCCAATCGGGAAGGCAGCATAGTGGAAACATATGGTGCACTTGAGGCGAGATCTCCAGTCTATGCTCCAATTGGTGATCAGCGTTCAGATAGGCCAGTAGGTACATCATAAAATTGTATATTACATATGCTTCGTAGCATTCTCTCAAGCTGTCCACGTAGATACTTCCTTCAGAATATACCAAACCTAACCACTGTACAAATAGAAAGCGTTCGTTAAACAACTGAGCAAATATTCGCATACTTTTGGGGTGAAAAGGATTTGTAACGTTTCTTACAGCATTCACAGCGTAGATGGGTACCATCCATAATATCCTAAAAAGAGAAGAACATTTTTAATACCTAATTGAAGAAAAATATTAAAGCTAAATCAGCAAATCTTCTTGGCGAGGGATAGCTCACCTTATTATATATTTCTGTAGCCTAGGTTGCGTGTAGTATATCATGTGCTGCACAATCTCGTAGAAGGCAATGGGCAACGCCAGCAGGACAAAGGCGCCACCCACCAGCGCACCCTGATCCTGCTTCTTAAAGCCATTCTTGATGGAATTGACTAGCAAGATTGGTACGAGTATGACGATGAGCAGCGCGTACAGGCAGGTCAGCACAGGCAATATCCATAATCTCCAGCGTCGGCAGATCGAAGCCATCACTCTCCTCGGATGCTTCGAGTATCGTCACATGATAATTTCAGACTGCAACCAGGTCTGGGTTCTGGAAAACGAGCATTCGTCATTAAAAACTGGACGTCGCAGCAACAATTGTGCCTACATTAAAGTCGTGTTTCGCCAGCAAAGTCCGCTGATCTGACAGCAGATTGCAAGCAGAATCCGTCATTTCGTAATCGTTTAAATAGAGCGCGTCAAACGATCATTTATTCCATTCAAACGGTTACAAAATGACAAATTTTTTTGTTTCAATTTTCCATAAATCTATCATTACATTTTCTTACTAAATTCTGCTATATTTCTGCTGGCATTCTGCTGATGAAATAGAAGCGCGTATCAATTTGTATTAGAAAGTAAAGGCCTTTCGTTGCGAGATTACAAATTATTCGGCCACAATTACAAGGCTCGCTCGTACAAAAACACGATACGCTCGCGCGACGCTCTCCCTCGATCTCTCCCCTTTAACGGGCCACGTTCCTTCGCGCGTTCCTCGCCCGTGTGAAACGTCAAACTCGGCAGAAATCTCTGCGCACTATCGCGATCGTGCACGAGAGAAAGAGAGGAAGTAGGCAAACTGCCACTGGGAAAGAGGGAAAAAGAGAGACGCCGCGCGATGGCGGCGGGGGGAATGAATCAGCTGAGTGACAGAGCGTAGGTGTCGGGCTTCCTCCTTAACCCCTTCAGTCCCGCCGTCGGTCCGGGTATGACGTGCGCGGCGGGCGGCTCACCGTTTTGCAGCGACGACGACGACGACGTAAATCGACGTCTCGTCGGCGGCCGAGTGCCGCAAACCGTCACCGGCCGCGGTAGACCGCCGGCACGATCGCGGCCGCGCCGAAACGCCGAGGAGTCACGCACAACACGCACCTCGCCGCGGGTATGCTAATTTGACATTTCGCAATATTTTGCACGGCCATCGGAAACCGGAAGGTCGCCACCCCCCTGGCCCCCCAACCCCATCTCCCTGCCGCTTTGGGGGAAGCCGCGGGCGGCTCAGGATCGCCAAGGTGCGGGCGAGAAATATCTCGCGGGGACGCCGAGAGTCGCGGAACGGACCCGGGGAAGTCTCGCGCGGCGCCGTCGCGTTTTCGCTTTCTCTCCGAGCGAGAAGCGACGCGCGAGGGGAGAGAAATCGGATCGCGTCCGCCCCGCGGGCGAGCGGAAAAAATCGCGGGGCACCGCCGTCGGCCGACGGTCGCCCTAGGGATTTCCGTCGCCCCCTCGCGCGTACGTTGGCCGACGTTGCGCGGGCGGCGTGGGAGGGGTACTTCCGGTCTAATGGCGTCAAGAGCCAAGCACTGTTGTCACATTTTGCCCTACAGTGTTTCAATATTTCGCTTTGTTTATGTCGCCCGCGGTCCGCGGCACGAGGACGAGGAGCCCGGCCGGGCGCGCGAATTACGCTAAACGGAGGTGAGGACGAGCGCGTTCTGGCGCGCGCGGCGCGTATCGATGAGGCGCGGCCGTGATTTTCCGATGCGTTTGGTCCGGGTGCAGTGACCTTGGTCCCGCTGTCAAGTCGATCAAGTGTACGCACCCCCCGCCAAATTCAAACTCCGCCGGCGCGCCCGGTGCCGATATACTATTTACGGGACTGAATCACTTTTATCTTTCTTTTTATTTTACTTCGCTTGGAATAGAAGCGCTAAAAAGATTGTATTATCTCGTTAGAGCCCGCTATCTGATAAGGCGGGCTATCGTTTAATCTTAGTCGCGATGATTTTAGTGCTGACAAAAGCCTCTTGGTAGTGAAAGTGTTTGAGGATTATTATATTGCGCGTGAAAAGCAAAATACAGACTTTCTCGTTGACTTAATTAAAAGTTACTGTCACTGTGTATATACGGAATATAAAAATAATGCGTGATGTCACACAAATAATGATAAAAAAGGATTAATGACTAGTTTGCACTTTAGGTAAACTTGTTATTTTATTGTTGAGGATAGTATTGAAAATGTATTGTGTGTGATTTAGAAAATGTGTGGATTCCACTGCAGTGGTAGACAATAATATTTCAGTAAATTCGTAAAATATAGACTTTCTCGTTGATGTGAATCAAAAATTACTATTACTACACATGAGAACGATTTTAAAATTGTTACACAACAATAGAAAGAGATTGATGAGTAATTTTAACATTTTTGTATTCTGTTTTAACTTTGAACTACTATTAATCACATAGAGTCGAAGGAAATTGATGTTTTACTTGTACTCTTCTTTATGATCCAGGTTTGGCATCTGTAGATAGGTGAAAGCTTGTGAGAAGAACAATTTATACTAGTCGTTGCATCCAGAATACTCAGTTATGGAAGTTACAACGGAGGAGGCGCAAGCCGTGCTGCTGGAGGGAATGGAGGGTACTCAGTACATCACCATCCAGAGGGCCGACGGGGAGTCCTTGAGCAAGGGGGTGCCGTTGCTGACGCTGAACGGCGAACTAATCTCGGAGGGCATGGTCGTGGACATGATCAACGCCGGCGTCGGCACGGACTACGGCACCGGCACGCAGTATTACGAGGCGGACGACTTGCTGCCGCACGAATTGACAGAGGTTGTAATATGCTACTTAATGCCCGTATGACTGTATATTTTTACCTTGCACGTAGAATGTGAATTGTGTGATGCAGGAGGACCGTAGACTCGCCGCGGCCCTGGTCGCGGTACAGCTGCATCAGCAGCAGAAGCAGCAGCAACAGCAGCAGCAGCTCCACATCCAGTCGCAGCACGAGGACCCGACTCTACCGGACGTTTCGCACCTCGAGACCCTGACGCCAGTGAATTCGTACGCCATTCAAGCGGTGCCGGAACCGAACGCCGCTCCGTCCGTGTACCCACCTCTGCAACCCTTCAAGAGGATCACGCAGAACGTAAAGCAGGAGTTTATCAACGTTAAAAGCGAATACGACGTTGAGGTTTCCACGGAAAGCAGTGAGGACGCCACGTCGGCGTCCGGACCCAAGAGAACTCTGCCGCACAAGAAGAGGATACCTCGTAAACTGAAGCAACAGCAGACGAAGAAAAACGCGGCGCGGAAGGACAGTAGCAAATCGAGTCAAGATAATGCGACGATTAAGTTGACTAGCGAGGTTCAGGCTAACGTCTTCAAGTGCGAATTGTGTAGTTCGAAGTTTAGCAGTCAGTTGAAGTTCTTCGAGCATTTAAAGGTATACATCATCGAAAGTGACTAGTTAGACCCTTTTAATACGTATGTATCTTTACGAAATGAAGAATAATTGAATAATTTTTGTAGGTGCATTACGAACCGGTAAAACAGGAGACGCGAATAGCTCAAGCGACTAATACTAATATCTCGATATCAGTGCCGGAAACAGTACACACTCTAGACAATACTGTGATCGAGGAATTCAGTGAACCCGAAGATCTTATGGAGGGTATTCGAGGCGTAGGTAAGAAAACATCTTTGACATTAACATTTTTTTTTTTTAATTTTGCGATGCAATTGTAATTGATTTTTTTTTCGCTTGCAGTGGAAGAAACTGGCGCGCATATCGACGACGATACGAACTCTCCGTTACCCAGTGCGAACAACGAATCGACTATATGGACCATCACCGGTGTCACGGAAGAGGTACAACAGAGGGACCAACAAATAAGACCACCGGCCGTTAGCGAGAATAAAAGTTCCGACGAGAAGGCAAAGACTGACATTCCACAAACGGCCAAAAAAAAGAAATCACCGAAAACGCGAAAATCAAGTTTGTATAATCTATTTTTTTTCTCCGGAAACTCTTCGACACGCGCTGAAGATAGAGGGATTTTAAAAACGATATTCTCTTGTAGGTGACGAATTAACGTGTACTCAGTGCAATCGTTCATTCCACCATAAAAATAGCTTAGTTTATCACATGCGATCTCACAGCGGGGAACGGCCGCATCAATGCGATATCTGTAGTAAACGTTTCTTTGCCGCTAGCGCGTTGAAGGTAAGGATCGATTGCATTGTTCGCGCAAGGGATATATTTAATTTTACCAACAATATATAAAAATCTAACTATTTGGTTGCGACTGACAGGTACACAAAAGACTTCATAGCGGCGACAAACCGTACAAATGCGAGGAATGCGGGCGACACTTTCGACAATGGGGCGACTTAAAGTATCATTCGACGAGTATCCATTCGGAGCAGAAGCATTATCAGTGTGAATTTTGCTCCAAGCAGTTCGCTCGGAAATATTCATTGATCGTACACAGGCGTATCCACACCGGTGAGAAGAATTACCGCTGCGACTACTGCAACAAAACGTTCCGCGCGAGCAGCTACTTGCAGAACCATCGACGCATACACACCGGCGAGAAGCCGCATCCGTGCGAGGTGTGCGGCAAGCCGTTCAGAGTACGAAGTGACATGAAGAGACATATGCAGACGCACTCCCGAACGAAAACGAATGACAAGCAGTCGCTGAACAGAATCCTGACGGGGAAGAACACGGAGGAGTTGGTGGGCGATAAAGGAGCGCAGGCAAAAACGATCCAGGATCTCGTGAGAGATCTGAAACTGGAGGTCGAAGCGACGGGTGTTGTAGAAATCGTCCCGCCGGATGACAATCCGGAAAGCATTTTGCCACATACAGGACAAAACTTGGAATACACCGTGACATCCACAGCGGATACTGTAACTGAAGACAGAGATCCTCTGGAAGCGGTTGTGCGACCGACTGATAATATGTGAGTAGAATCAATTATATCTCGATGAAGACTCGATCGATAGTAAAAGATCTCTTTCGACTAATCTATTATGTTTTTGCAGGCCATATTTTTTCATGTAATTTTGGAAGTTTTAAGAGAAGAAAACATATTTTACTGAACGACAAGATTGATCATTTATGGAATATCGGCATTCAAAATCGGTTTGTAATGCAAAGATTACGTTTTATGAAATTAATTTTATAACAGAATATCAGGCGTATTCGATTATAACTTATTTTGAAATAAGAAATTACGTGCAAGTATAATTTTATAAGTATTGTAAGATCTAGAAGGCATTGTTTTTATTCGAAAGCAAACAACCGGAGATAAATGCCAATTTAAGATTTGGCAAGTAAACTGCATTAACACTGCCTAGATGTTGCAAGGATTTTTTGCAATTAGGTTTTTTTTTGTAAAATTCCAAGACAATCCATAAAAAACGGATATTGTGGAATAAAAATTTCACATGCAAAATCCTAGATTCTGTCAGTGAAATCGTGAGTTAAACTTTTTACTCATTTGTATCTATAAAAATTTATAAATATATTATGAATTATCTTATAAATATAAATATAATTATATAAATTTTTATATTTATAAATTTTATTTATATTTATATCAATAATTTTTATTCATTCCACAATATCCCAGTTTTTTGTGGATTCCCTGGAACTTTGCAAAAAAAAAAAAGAATAACGAAATCTCTGCGACATAGATAATGCGTAACATACTTTCCAGTTTTTAAGAGCGAGTAAGTAATTTGTATGAGGTTGAGTAGAGAACTAAATTGTATTGCAATAGTTCCAAGATTCATGAAGAAACAATATCATATATATATATACATACACACACACAAAAATGCGCATTATACTGTAATTAACATTAATCGTAATATTGTACATTTTTAAAACTTAGGATTGTACAATAGTGTAATTGTACAATTTAGCGGTTTATATATATCGTGAATTGACGTTAAGAAATATATTTTTTACTTCAACGTGTTTATAGAAATACATTGGTCCACTTCATTCGCAATCTCCGAATCTAAATAGCAGCGGGTATTAGAGTCGGCACGCTTACGTCGGCTTTACCGATGAAAATTTGCAAGATGGTAGCCAAATCCCTGGATTCGAGGGCATCTTTTAACTTCGCCGTAGCCTCAATGCTACTAATCCTATTACACGAAACGTATTGTTAGAATTAGGCCACGATAAAAAGTCGCCATCTTTACCTTCGAGATCGCTTTGCTCGTTCCCAATCTACGTATAAGTCGGTAATGATAGCGTGCAGTCTGTTCAGGATTTCGGTGTCCTTCGCCATGAGCGATCTAATCTCCGTCTCCTTCTCCAACAGCTCTTGGTACTCGGAACATAAGTTCTCCCTCGGATTGGATTGGAGTTCCCATTCTCCGAGAGCGTCCAGAATTTTTATCTTCTGAATTAAATCGTAGGCCGCGTTCAGCCGCGGGAGAATTAATTCCAAGACTCTAGATACACTTCCCTCTGCTACTTCTGCGGAAAGATTTACGTTTGCGATCGTTTTGCGTCTTCGAAGAGAAATGCAATAATTATCGATAAATTACCGCAGAACACGTCTAGCTTCATCTTTCGTTTCGTCGCTTCCTTCGTCAAGATATCTCGGAGAATTATGATGGTGGATATATTCTCGCCGAGAAAAAGCGCGCTCCCTTTCCTGCAGTTTAGCAAAAGATTAATGACGACTGCATGTCTGATTTTACGTTATAAACTTACTTGTATTTGCATTTGAGGACCGTTCCGATGAAGGACGAGATATACACTAAAACAGCTTCACCCTCGTGGATATGAGGTCTTTCGGGCACATCGGGCAACGCTAAAGAGAGCCACGCGTGCATCTAGAGAGAAGATCCACAAAGAACATGGAAAACCGTTTCTCTCATAACAAGATTAACAGAACAAAGAAACGTACCTCGGCAATAGTGAAATTGCCGTTTAGTTTCAATTCATTAAACGGACCACTGGACGCGGTGTCATCATCATCGTGTTGCCTGACGTGCAGAGATAAGGCGTAAATAGGAACTGAGATTTTACGGCAACGCTTCGGCTGTATCTGAGAATTATTATAGACGTTAACAACGTGAATATACCTACATAGGATGCGAAAAGCGACGTGTAAAATACCTGAGACGTTACGTAGATCTGCAAGGTACCCGCCTGACCCTCGATGGATCTCAGTCGCATTTCCAGACGATTCGTATTGATCTATTTGTAAATTATATTTCGTAAAAAGCTCATACTCTTAGAGATATATTATTAAAATTCAAAAAGATTCTGTATCGTTTCAGAGAATCGCGTATATTGTATACTTGGCATCGATAAGTGGCAAGAACAAAATTGCCCTCTCTAGGATCGCAAGCGGACAAGCTGACCACCGCGCTATTGCTCTCCGTCTCCAGCAGGTCGACGGGCGTATCGGATTGTATTAGAATATTGTCGATTGACGCGTCTAGTTCTACGGACAGGCAATACGAAGCGTCTTCTTTGTGCAGCACCATTCTGTGAATTGGTTTCAGTTGCAACTTCAATCCCGATTAATCAGTTTTATATTTGTAGAAATAATTTGTGTACAGTTACTTATGATTCACTGCCAATATCAAAGGTGCCAGAGGGTCCGGCATGAAATTGGACGACTCCTTCTCCTCGTTGAGCTTCTCCTGCAGTTGTTGTATCTCCAACTTCAGCCTGGCCAATCCGACGTCGCTCTGTCCCGCTTCTAGCAGACCAGGAGGACTGGTGGTCAATCCGAATACTCGGCCCGAGTAAGTCGTGACGAGAACCTCAGGGTAATTGGCGACGCCGATTATTCCGCCCACGACTGTACTAATGCTTTCACCGGCGTTCTGTAATGATACATATCCGAACTAGCATGATTTAATTCGGTGAAAATTATGAATGCGGCTATCGTTACTCACGTAGTGATAACGCAGAGTGGACGATACGTCCTCGTCGGGAAACGTGTACACCTCGACGCCTCCGTCTTGTCGACCAATGAGGATATCTATACCGTCTTGTAACTGATGAGTATCCAACGAGGTGATTTCCGAGCCCGTCGAAGTCAGCAGCCAGGTGACTCGGAGGGTCTTGTTGCCCTGGAGGATCAGTAGTCCGACTCTACCGTCCGCGGTACCGACCAAGACGCGGTCCCTCGAGTATATCTCTCCCTCTCTGAATTATGGGATGAATAACACAAAATAATTCACTTGAAATGCAATGGGTAAATGATTAATAATACCTGTATATGGAAAGCACCGTAGGAGCGCTCGGCAATCTTAGGACTGTTGGACTACTTGTGCCATGCAAAACGCGCACCTGGAAAGCAGAACTGCATTGAATGAATCAGCTACAAAAAAGACGCATTTCTGAAAAATAACAACTCCATCCTCGAATCTCCGTGAATTTCTGTTCAGAAGTGAAATAAAAGACTTAAATTGCAGAAACTTTGCAAGAATGAAAAGATATATTCCAGGTAAAATCATGAAAATATTCAAGGTAATTTTTAAGAATAGAAACGGAATCAAGTAACCGACCGTTGTTTTCTTAAAGATACAGCTTCTTCAGCTGAGACTACCGCACTTCTTGACTGGAGTCTGAAAGATGCTTTCCGGACGGATCCTCGAATCCATGCTCTATATAAAATCTATCCCGATGTCTTACCGCACAGTCCGCACAGGCTAGAATAGCGTACATCACGTTGCCATCTCCGGGCAAGAGCACGACGTCGTGCAAGGTTTCTCCAGTCAAATACGAATCGGCGTCCTTGCAGTCTCGGTATCGGTGATAAAGATCACGCGCGCACGCCGCGAGATCAGGACCGAGGACGTACCTATGTTGGGGACACTTCGTAATGATAAACGCGGTAACGGGGGATTACGAAGCACGTCGAAGGTATCATTCGTGCGGTGTGTGAGCTAAGCGTGAGCGAACTTACATCGCGGAAATGGGATCTATAAGGCTGGTATCGAACTCTAAGAACAGCTTGCCCTTTCTCGTGAATCCCTTCACGGAGCTACCATACGCAATGAAAATCTTGTCCTTCACCATACCTATCGAGCCACCAAGGACTATTCTCTGGATTTTTGGGCCGGGCAAGGATTTAAACGACAATTGCAGCTCCCCCCTTTTCATGCCTGCCAAGAAAGGAATAATCTTGTATATTATTTCTTCATATCTCGTCTTATAATATTTGTCTCAATAGAGGCATTAATATCTAAACATTTTTCAAAGACAATTACCATATTAAAGTCTTTTTTCATATTTATCACGACTAACATCGTCATCAGAGTAATTAATTCATTATGAATTAATATTAAATCATTTGTTTATTAATTAATTACTATTCATTCGTTAGGATCTGTGAATCGCAACGAAATGTGAGGATATATATATTTATACCATAAATATGCAGCACGCCGTCGTGATCTGCAACGGCGAATTTTTGCGGTTGCCTCGTTGCCTCGTTAGGCGGAAATATGATGGTTGTGCCACGTGAGGTGACTCCCACCGTCGTGTAATCTACCCTCGATAGCGCCAACGTCATCGCGGCCTGATCTTGGAATTTGTCTTGACAAAGTCAACTCAGCTCAAATTACCATCGTGTATCTTTTTTGTTTTTACATTAGTACGTCAATTTCGTGAATCCCGCGAGTCTCGGCGCAAAGAGTAGCAACGGAGAGATAGATATACTGCGGCGGTAAAGTGATATAATACCACGATCGATTTAACCATGACAACGCGTGGCACAACAAACCGGTTTCCTCAAAATTGCGATAAAAATCAAAATGTCCATCGATAAGGGCGCAATATCTTTCGCGCGCTGAATTTTTATCTCATTTATGCAAATTGAATTTCAAATTATTTATTCCGCGCATGCGACCGCCAGATTCGAAATCAAATCGAACTTTAAATTGATTTTGAACCCGAAGTTCGAGAAGTATCGATATATCTCCGACGCGCGGAGCCCATCAGTTCCCCGAAATCACCGAGTCGCGGAAAAATTTAAAACGTCCATCGATATAAGGACGATGATAAACGAAAAAGTAAAACAAGGAAACAGGGAAACCCTCGGTTGCAATTAGCTGACAATTGTGAGTCGGAGAAGGAGGGAATGGCGTTCTCTCTCTTGCTCGGCGCGTCGAACTCGGAACAACTCGAAACGGGAGACGCCGAATTGGAGACATTGGAGAGTGGTTATAGTTCTCTGTTGTTTTCACTCGAGTCGAAGATGCGCGATGGTAGAAGTTTCGCTGAGAATTCGAAATAGCGTTGTAATGTATCCGGGAGTCGTGTGGCCTGCTGTTATCTTGCATAATATTCCGGCGAGTGTCGGAAAGACGTTAAAATAACGCAATAACGCGAGGCAACGCTAGAACAACGGTCCGAAGGAGCCTAACCTAAGCCTAACAATGAGCAACAAGGCTAATAACAGCGGTGAGTATACAAACATCGCGGTTTCTTCGATACTTTTCGTCACGACCGATTCAATCAATGATAAATCTACAATTGAGACGTCTCCTGTATAAAAGTCATTTGCTGCAGGAGAGATAGATCCCGTGCAGGAGCAGCTGACCGGCCGAGTACGAGAGGTTGGGAACTACGCGATCTGGAGCTTGTCCAGCTGTAAACCGGGTTTCGGCGTGGACCAGCTTCGCGACGATATCACGGAGACGTACTGGCAGTCGGACGGACAGCTGCCACACCTGGTGAACATACAGTTCAAGAGGAAGACGACCATTCGCGACATATGCATCTATACAGATTACAAGCTGGACGAGAGCTACACTCCAAACAGGTGTGGAGATAATCTTCTGTTACTTGATAATACCAGGGATACCGGCGAGCGTACCACTGGCCGTTATTGACACACGCGTTCTGGCTAATTCGCAGGATAAGCATCAGAGCTGGGACCAACTTTAACGATCTGCAGGAGGTAGAGGTGATGGACCTGAACGAGCCGAGCGGATGGATAGTGATCCCCATTAAGAACATCAACGATCGGCCTATTAGGACATTCATGATTCAAATAGCGGTCATCAGTAATCATCAAAACGGCAGGGACACCCATATGAGGCAGATCAAGATCCACAGCCCCGCGCAAGATATTCTTGGCCCGCCGGCGCCTTACATCCCAGGGCAATTTCTTACCAATGAATTTTTACGCTACGCCACTATTAGATAAGATTTGTAAATTGAACTTTCTGAACATACATAAGTTATATATATATATATAATAAAATAAAATTTTATTATCATCAACATTCAATTCGACATATTTACAAACTCTTTCATTCTCAATCACTTATTTTGCTCAATTTATTTTATTATTCACTTGTTAAGAATAAATTGATTATTCTATTTACTGAAGTGTAAATGTAAATGAGAAATTCTGAGGCTTCCTGCAAATGTACATACACAGTGAGAGTTATATTGGCGTTTATGTATACCTGTTACAGACTGGAATGCGGAAAGGTAGGAACTATGTACAGAAAAACTGTAAACACAATACACTGTCTCGAAGCTTCCGTGTGTAATCAAACGGTTGAGCACAGCGACATGAGCAAAAGCGGCACGGAAGGTCGGGCGAGCTCTCGCGTTGTGAATCAGTCGTGATCGGTAGCTTTGAGAAATTACTTTGTGTGAATATGTTACGAGAGCCCCTCTTGATTTTCACGCTAATATGCGTGACACAGTGCGAACATTCCCCTTATTCAAAGGAAGATATATACGCGATACTCGATCGAACGAGGGCATACTTCAAAAATCTCAGTAATGGTAAAATATTAATTATCTGGTACTTGAATATTATAAAAATTACCGTCCTTATTTCTGAAACATTTTTAGCGTACGATCCATTAAATAATGACACTTTGAATAATATTAACAACGAAATTGCGAAATATATGAATGATACGACCGAAGCGATCCGTCAGAAAATCAAGCGCCAAAAGAGGGACCTTCCGAATGAGCGCAGTAGAGGTGAGCAAAACATTTCACACGTATCATTCGTACAAAAATCCCGTGAGATTGATAGAAATTAGACAAGATATATGTTTAACGCTGCTACTTTTATATAATTTTATCAATCCGAAAATTTGCTGAATTTCCCTTCTATTCCAAAAAGCTCCTTGAACGCGTGCTGGCAATCGCGATCGGTTAGGTATTTGAGAAGTTGACCCATGTCGTTGTGACGCTCAGTAGTGGGAAAGGAGATTTCTTGGAAGTCCGTGAATTTGCGCATTCTGTCCACATCGTTGCAGTCCTCCTCTTTCTCCAATAATTTTATTAATATCCTGTGCCAGTTCATAGACCTGATCTGCAAAAGAATTGTACAGGTGTGAGACATTATTATATTAAATATTAAGATACGGAAGAGATCATTGTTGACGTTACTCTCTGCCAGCAGTAGTCGCAATCTTCCAGACTTCCCTCCATACAAATTATCCCCGGTTTGCCGGCCAAGCAGAATCCCGTGATGGAGTTCTCTTTCGCCAAGCTAGCCACGTCCTGTCTCTTCGACTTGCCGTATATGTGATGACTGTAGATCCAATATCTGGAGAAGACCGCCGGCACCCGATCTTCCGTGCCGCTTTTACTCGCGTCGCTGTGCTTAACCGTTTGATTACGCACGGAAGCCTCGAGATAAGTATCGGCGTTGTCCTGCAGCCACGATATCAGGGTATAGATGCAAGGCTCGCCCGCCTCTTGGGCCTTGACGAGGACGGAGAGTTCCTTGTTCAGCAGCGCCTGCTGCGTTCGGTCCAAGCAAGAGCCTCTCGCATACACTTCGGGCTGCTCCTTCGGGTAGTTGGTCGGCAAGTTCACCAGTAGCTCGATACTCCCCTAGTGGCACGAGCAACATGTTAATGATGCAACATATGTGGCTGGCATATGTAGAAGAAAAATTTGGACAACAATGAAGTAAATGGTTAAAGGCGCACACACCGTGGCAACGTTATGTCATAAGTAAATGTTATATTACACCGTTCAACGGGACCGCGATAGCGTACTCCAGCCATCGCGGTGGGTCCCGGTCGGGGCACTCGATGTACTCGTTGATGTCAGCCAAAACCCCATAGTCCGCCACAGTCAGCTCGCTCGGATAGACGGACTGCAGTGCCTGCAGCTCGCTCACCTGCGCCGTCAGGGTCTCCGTCATCTCTGCCGGAGTGGACATGCTTCGAACGACGACACATGCGACAGGACGATGGATCAGTCCCACGATTTGCTGCGCGCTGCACTCGGTTCTCTCGACGATGATCGGTTCGGTCGAGCCGAGACGATAACACGAAACTACTGGTGTATATCGGCCAGACGTTAAGGTTATCAAGAGATCAGCTGATGTTGATGATGTATATGTCAATAGGAAGTCCTACCGCGCGGTTGCGTTTCGAAATCGGAGCACGTGGTTGCCG